GGTATACCCCACCTATTAAATTTAATATAAACTTGAGAATCGAATACAGAATCGAATAGAATCGTTAGGATCCTTAGATACAAAGCATCATTAAACAAATTAAGTCATATATTTATGTATCAAAAATAATTATACAAGTGATATACATATATTAATAGCTGTACAAACAATGTAATTTTGATATATAAATGATGCAAATTATGCAATTATCAATATAAAAATTAAAAGTTTATTTATATGAATAAAATGTCTTTTAAAATTAAAAAAAATTATGTAAATTAACAGATTTTACAAAAGAACATATTATAAATTTTTATAAAGCCAATTGAATTTTTACTATAATTGCTGATTATATGAAAAGTAAAAAAACAACTGTTATAAATATTGTTACAAAATAAAAAAAAAATAAATGAATTATTGTTCAAAAAAAATCAGGGGGCTCCTAAAAAAGTAAATAAAAATGAATTTCAACAACTTGTTAAAATTGTTAAAGATAATAGACAATCTATAGCTGAAGAAATTATTAATAAATTTGTTACTCTTATTAAAAAACAAATATCAGTAAGATCTGTTTGTCATTACTTAAAAGAATTAGGTTATAAAGAATTACAGGTGTATGTAAACTACTAATTTCTGAAAAAAACTGAATTGTACACTTAAAATGGGCAGAAGATCATATGGATTGGACAATAAATCAGTAACAAAATGTAATTTGGTCTGATGAATCAAAATTCGAATTGTTTGATACTTATGAACATTAATGGATATGGCAAAACCTGATGAAAAAATATAATGTTAATTGTTTACTCCCTTCAATAAAGTCAGATCGTATAGAAATTATGGTTTGGGCATGTTTGTTTAGACATAATAACTTAGGACCATTGATTGAAATTTAGAGTCAACTTAATGCTATTGGTTATAAAAATCTCTTGAAAAAAAATCTTCTTTCATTTATTAAAAAACAAGAAAATTGTTATATTTTTCAAGATGATAATGTATCAATTTATATGGCAAAATTAGTTAAAAAATGAAAAAAGAAAACAAAAATTATATTTATGAAATGGCCTGCACAAAGTCCTAATATGAATCCTATCGAACACTTTTGAAATAAGTTAAAATATCAAGTATGTAAAAAAAAACTATTTTTTTTTTTTAATGCGAGTAGGCTTTACTCTAATTTTTATTAATTTGTTATAAATGACATACATTGTATATTTCTATTCACACATGAATTATTACAATTAGAATTCACTCACAAGTATACTATCTGGGTGTAGCCTATCTATAAGAACTATTTTAAGTGCACCAATTTCTACATCTTCCAGCCTCAAATCTGTAAACTTTCTATTAAGTCTTTTAACACCAACCAGATTCCCATCGGAGTACTGTGTCTCAAATTCCTGGTCCTCTTCCTTTGAATCAACAATCTTAGCAATTGATGCAAGGGGATTTCTATTTGGGAAATGGATGGAACCCTTTGACCAGTAGTGTACCTTTAAACCTTCTCGGGGTTGACAATCCAATTCTTTGTAGATAATGCCAGGCTTCAAGCATAGGCTGCTTATTTAAGAGGGTGCAAATTCTCCAAAGTCAGGCTAAGTCTTAAAGGAGTCTTCCATTCTGGTGATCGTTACCAACTAAGTACCTTCACTACAGGTAAGAATGGTGGGTGTTACTGCCGAGTGCGTAACTTGTACTGCAGGAGGATTGTGCTGAAAGTCTTTGCTTGAAAATTTCTGGTTTTGTGGCCCTCCATAATTTCTTTTATAGTCTCGTGGACTATAGGAAAGGGAAATGATTTGTTATGGAACTGGAAATTACATCAAACTTGACAATAATCATCGTAATTTCAACTAGACGATTGTTACACCACAACACCTTTTCTGGAAATCACAATCTTAATGCCCGCTGGATCAGCGTGTCAAATGGCTTCGCATGAGAAACAATACATAACAGGTTATGGTGCCAGATACCATATTGTTCTATTCAATCGCCTTCACCTGGGATTGAACTGGTATCTTGTGATTTGACCTGTGAAGTGTTAACCATTACACTATAAACCCACAGGTCATAAAAAAAAACCATTGTCAACAAATACAGAACAATTCTTACATTATTTACAAGAAGCATGAAATAAAATACCAAGAGAAAAATATATAAAATTAGTGGAAAATATGATTCCTAGAGTAATTAAATCGCGAGATACAAATGAAAATCCTATATCTTATTAATTTTTTACAGTACTAAATATAAATTTTTGCTATGCAATGTACTTTTTTTTTTTATAATACAATATATTTTTTTTTGTGATACAATTTTTTTTGCTTATTTTAAAATTAACCTTGATAAATAATCATAATTAATTTATTTAATAATGCTTTGTATTATATGGTCAGATATTTATGGCAAAATACTGTACAGATGATTCTTTCGACTCAGATCACAAAATGAGTTTCAGATGGCATATTCCTCAAATCAAAAACTTAAACTTCAAAGGAAAAATAAACCTTTCCTCTTCTCAACAAGAACAGAACTAGTTGCCATCACATCCTTCCTTACAACAGCCCCAGCAAACAGCAACATAACTATCTGTAGTGACAGCCAAGCAGTACTTAACACTATCACCCAAGTACAAACAAACATAGCTATACTTAGAATACTCAAGAACAATATATTAATTAATATAATAACCCACATCATTAAACATCAAAGACTCAACATAACATGGAAAAAAATAAAAGCACATAGCAATAATCTAAACAATAATATAGCAGACTGTAAAAGTCTTAATAAAATTGTTAGTGATTTCAAAAGACAGTGAACTTGAGCGATTATTATTTTAACGCCAACAG